ATCCTAAGAACATAGCAAGATACCTGAGAGCATTGAGGTCCCCATTGTAATTGGGTACTATAAATTTATAGTAGCCCCCCCTTATTTTGTGATTTTTCTCTTCTATCTTGGGCCAAAACTTAGAGGTGATCTCCATCTGGTATATAGAAAGATAGAGTTAGAGTTAGGCAAGGGATTACAAGTGTTGACTGAAGAACATTAGAAAAGTAGCCATGGAATCTTGGCTGGACAGAGGGTGGAACATAGAGTTGGTGAGTAGAAGCTTTTGTGATTAAAGGTCAGTTGCAGGAGAAACTAAGATGGCCAAAATAATGGTAATAGTGAGGGATTTTTGAAGTTGAGGTTGATTAAAGCCAAATGACCTGATTTTTTAAAGAACCCAGGATTTTGTACATAGGGTTGTAGTTTGTAAAATGAGAGCAGAATCCCACCTCTAGGTCTGAGGTTTATGAATGGGGAGGAGATGGTAGGGAAGGAACATGATATATCTCCATGAAAAGATCTAATGAGGGCCGGGGATTTAGCTCAGTGGTTTTGCTTCCTGCCTCGTAAGCGCAAGGACCTGAGTTCGATCCCCGGTACCAAAAAAATGAAAAGATCTAATGAAATGGGATTAACTAGTATAAAGTAAGGAAAGGTCACTTGAAAAGAGCCAACCTCAGCAAACAGAAGTGCAAATTATGCTCCCAGCCCTGCTCAACACATTTGGAACAGCATAGTCTTGTTGGTAACATCATCACTATTGTTAGGAAAAGTTTCTAGAATAAGCTTAGTTAAGGAACATTTTCTAAATTCCACCTAATTCCCTTTTTCTGTCCCTGTATTGACCAAAGCAACGTTCTGATTATGATACGGCTTCCCATATTAAAAAGAATGTGTTCATTGGTCAGGAAATGTGCCTAATATAGTAACTCAGTAAAATGTTTTATAATTATTTTAAATGTCTAAACATCTTTTATATTGTACATCTTTTTTTTTTTTTCAGTGAGTGTCAATGTTATGGGGGAAATTTTAGATTTCCAAAGCTAAGGTCCCTTCCATGATTCAAAGTGTAAGCCTCAAGATAGTAGCGTTTTTCAATCCTACAGGTAGAAGGGTTTACTTGGTAAGTCTACACTGCAAAAAAACATCTACTTTAAAAATCCAGTGGAAGCCTATTATGGTGGATCATGCCTGTTAGGCCAGCAACTAAGAGGCTGATGCAGGAGGATTGCCTCTAGTTTGAGGCCAGGCTGAAGTACATAGTGAGACTCTATCTTAAAAATGAATGTATTTGCCCATCCATGGGAAACTGGATAAAGAAGTTGTGGTTTTTCTATAAAATGGAATATTACTCAGCCATAAAGAACGAGAAAATAGATTCATTCATAGGAAAATGGATACATATTGAAGATATACTCCTAAGTGAAATAAATAAGTCACACATGTGTAAATACCGAATAGTTTCCCTGGTGTAAATAATCTGCAACAATGCATAAGATTCTAATAAGATTACTGACATTTAGAAATGGGAACAAAGGAGCTAAAAGTGTAGGGAAGGTAGGATGTGTAGGGGAAGAGTAAAAAGGGAAAAGAAAAAAATGTGAGATAATGAAAAGATGAAAATAAAGTGTTTGTAGATGGGGAGGGGAGGAGGGGGTGAAGGGAGGGCAGAGGTAAGGGGAAAAAATGAGAATCAAGACTTGTCATGTAGAGGTACAAGATCCCAACAATGAATGTAACTGTACTGTATCCCTAAAATGTACCAATAAACTCAATTAAAGCTGGAAAAAAAAATGAATGAATGAATGAATAAAACTGAAGTGGAGAAGCAAACTTGTATATTGCTTTTCCTTTGTACAGATTTTTCTTTTTTCCTTCTTTCTCCTTCCAAAGCAGTGTTCATCACATTTCTTAGATGCTTTGCAAGGGATTTAAAAGTTCATTGTGACCTCTGTACTGGAACATCATTAGGCACAGACGCTGCTCTTGAAGGGCTTTTGGCATTCGTTGGCTTAGTAGCCATGATTCAGTTTGAGTCACCCCCTCACAGACCAGATGAAAGCACTTTCTTGCAGGATGCAAGACTTACTTCTTGGGAATCATTTTATTTTCAACTAATTGGACTAGTTTAGAGGCTTTGGGTTTCCCTGGACTTTGCTTGATTTCCTTCTTTTGTTGATTTTGGCCACTTTACCTCCCACCCACTTTATTACTCATTTCTTAGGGGCCTGACTACTCAGTAACACTGAAAAAATGCATCTGAAGCCATATGGGTTGAGTAAAACAAACTTGCGGGGGGGATCTGTGTTCTCTGAACTTCCTTTGTTTATGTGATTTGTTTATATGTCATTAAGGCCCTGTTATTCAGCTGGCTCTCCACATTTCAAAATGACTAAAGATTTCTGGGGAACACTCCGTGAGGGTCATGTTGGCATACTCAAATGAAAAGACACTTCATTTGTCCCCCACCAGATAGTCTCCTTTTGAGGTGTTGGAGCAATGCCAGTATCTTCAAATGCTAGATCTTGAAATTCTTGAAAGGCCAGTGACTGACTTCTGGGGACACTTAGCAAGAATCCAGTCAGCTGAGTCCTCTTAAGGTTTTCACATATATACCAGGCTTTTTGAATATTTGCTAAGTACACTGAGGCTGTATGGTATCTGATAGTTTTCTTTTTGAAAGATGAATGTTGGTTCTGGTGTAGGTGATGTTAGCAGCCCTGAAAGCCTGGTTCTTATATATACCTTCTTGTATAATGTGAGTTAGTAGTGTTTTGTTTTGTTTGTTTTGTTGGTACTGGGGATTGAACTGAGGACCTTGTGTTTGCAAGGCAGGCACAGCACCACTGAAAACTCAGGTAATTTTGGGTCACAGTCACTGTAAAAAAAAACATACTTATAGTAATAAAGACAGCTAAGTTAGGTAGAAATATAATAGGCAGTCAGACTGGGCTAGACCCTCAGAGTCATTGCCCCCACGGAGGATGAGAATACATTACAACTGTGGCTGGAGGCACATCTGTTGAAGGCCAGGCCTCAAGATAAAGACTGAATGACTAGGCCTGCTACGTGCTTCCCCAAGAGATAAGCAATAAATTAAAGATTATACTATAATTGGTATCACCTGGTCCAATAAAGTCTAGCTAGCCATCAGTCACTCAAGTGGGTGACCAGGACCTCCATCCCTTCCTAAAAAGGTCCTTGTTCTTTCATGTGCATTTGCTATGTGACCTGTTTCCCCATTGGATCAGTATTACCTAAGCAGCTATACTTGTAATCTTATTGCTTTATTATAGTTTTGACCCACAAAAATCTCATGATTTTACTCTATAGAACTTCCTTTGAGAAGTAGGCTCTTTGGCAACCCAATTTCAGGTACCCCCCTGTCTCTCAGGAGCTATCTGTCTCAATAAATTTTTCCTACTCTTAACCTCCATTGTTCCTTAAAATCCTTTCTTCCATTTTGGGGAACACAAACTCAGCATATCTGACATCTAGCAGGTTGGAAGTTATATCCTTTCCCCTGTATCAACAGAATGAAATTTTATAGGGTTTGTTTGAGCCATTCCACTTGTAAACACCTTACTGCAAGGAACTGCAAACTGTTCCCAAGTGCCTTGCTTATAGTTAGCTCCTTACTCTTCGGTGGAGTGGGAATTCCTCTTTTTGGCCCAGACAAGCTGGTCCCTGTAACGGGGAAGATCCCTATAGAGATACACGTTTTATAACATTTAAGATTGAAAATGAGTAAGAACAAGAAATAAAACATCAGTGTTAGCACTTGGGAAATAAGTTACTCATTGAACATGGAGGATGTGGTGTCCTGTTACCTGTGTTTTCTTCCCATTTGTCCCCATTGGGATGAACTCCCGCTCAACTCCTGCAGCACAGCTAGGCTGTAGCTGAGGCTGCTGTGCTTCCTTTAATTGCCATTTTATTAGGTCTCCTTAAAAGCGTGTATACCTGAAAGAACTGCTGAGGGAGCACCTGAGTGATTCTCATAATTTGTTTCTCATTCTCCCAGTTGAATGAGGCCTTTTTTCCTTGAGTGGCTGATGTTTAGGGTCACTATTGAAAGTTTTGTGTGAATATTCACTCCCACATGAATGGGCGGGGCTGCTGCTTTTAGCTTGAAGGGGTGAAGCCCTTGGTGGTAAGCCTTGAAAGGGAAAAATCTTTGTAGTGATATGCTAAATGAAATTACTCTCTTTGTCGTTTTGTCCTTTTATCCTTTCAGTCTGATAACCTCAAGTTCTGGTGATATATTTGTTTTCTGCAATTAAGCTTAGCTATTTCCTGTTCCCAGGTGCATGCTGTTTCTGCTTTTGGCTGTGATAGTGAAGTGAAGCACACTTCTGACCTAAAAGTGTGGTTGCCTTGACTCAGAACCACATCAGTGTGCCTTCAGTCCTCCCACTTCCTTTGCATTATTTCCTTTTGGAGGGCTCAGTTTGTCACCATTTAATCTAAGCGTGATTCATGTGGGACTGAGAACTGGTGATGCTGTAATAACTTTGCTATTCTTTGTATGATAATACTCCAAGCACTTACTATCTTAGCCTTCCACTGTTTATGAAGCACTGTAAGTTTAATCCCTCTTAATAACCCTACAGGGTTGTCAGCTACATTCTCTGTTATCTAAGATAGTAAAAGTGTAGCTCAAAGAGGTTAAATACCTTGAGGAGTCGCAGTGTGTGTGTTACTCTGCTTAATATTACTACAGGAAATGAAGAATGTAATGTAGTACTTTTGAAGATATTCTGGATGAATAAAAATGAATTTTCCAAACTGTGTCACAGTTGTTAAATCTAGCTTGTTTTGAGTCTGGTTGATGAGTAGTTAAAATCTCACTGACCTTAGAGTTTAAATTATCAGGAAATTCAAATATTTAGGTCAGTTTCTGTTTTGCTGCTGATGTGACAGAAGTTAAGGACAACCAGCTCTTAAATTTGTGGAACTTGAATGAGAAGTAATTAAGCCATTAATTTTTTTTTTTTTTAATTCTCTCTTCCTTTCAGGGAGATGGAAAGCTTGATGACTAGTGCTACCCTACCACCCCTTTTTGCAGATGAAGATGGCTCTAAGGAGAGTAATGATCTGGCTACCACTGGGTAAGCAGCTGCTCGGGGACATTGAGCCTCTGCACAGGCTTCATAAGAAAGCTTCTGACAAAGTATGAGGTACTAAAGAGGCAGGTTTTGTTTTGTTTTGTTCTAGTTTTTTAAGACAGGGTCTCACTATGTAGTTGAGACTGACCTGGAACTCACTATGTAGCCCAGGTTGGTCTTGAACTCACAGAGATCCTCCTGCCTCAGCCTCCCAAATGCTGGGATTACAGGTGTGCACCACCACACCTGGCAAGAGGCAGTTTTATATCTTAAAAATAGAAGGTACATTTGGTGTGCTTTTTAAAGAGAATGAGAGCCATTGTAAACTGCTTTATAATCTGCTATCTGTTGTAATGCTCTGATTCCTATGAACTGACAGAATAATAATGTGAGGCCTAGGAAACTTTGGGACTCTGGATTAAGAAAATTATATGGTGACCATTAAGAAAAGTTCTGCTCTTAAAAAGCAATGCATTTTCTGTTCAGATGTCCATAGTTATTAAAATTATTTTTTCTCAGAGGTCAGGTTATTTTAATACGGTTCTTTATTCTGAGCTTTAGCTAACTTTTGTTTGTTTTATATTACCCCCCTACCCAAATCTCCTTTCTATGGAATCTCTGAACAGATATGTAAAGGAATAAGGAAAAGAGTTAATAGCAGTAGTATACCTCTCCCCTTGAAAATCTCCATTCCACTTGAATTTTTATCTTTTCTAGATATTTAGGGGTTATTTTCCAAAGATGAAATATATTTACTAATAGATTAAAGTGCTAGCTAATCCCTAAGATAATTTATTTTAATATTCTTTAGAGCACTTTTTAAAAAATAGACTATACTCTAATTCTATTTGCTTCCCTCACATTCATTTCTCATCTTATTAGTATCTGCCTTTGACCTTACTACTCTCATGAAACTATTCTCCAAGACTTTCCTAAAGGCAGCCTAGTTACTAAGCCCCGTTCATTCAATAAAAGTTTCAGTGTTTATATGCCAGACTTTGTAGGCTTAAAGCAATGATCAAAACAGACAAAAATCTTAGCCTCTTTGGAGCTTAAATTCTACTGGGGAAGGCAAACACTGAACAGGATAAATAAGTAAAATATATGCTACGTTGATAAGAACTGTGGATTAAAACAAAATAAAGTGGTAAAGAGGAATCAGCGGGGTGTAGGGTTGCTGTTGTAGACAAAATGGCTTAAAAAGCATTTATCAAGAAAGTGATTCAGTAATGTTTTAAAGGAAATACAGAAGCTGCCACACAAATATCTAGGGAAGATTTTTCTTGGCAGGGAGAGCAATCAAAGCAAAAGCCCTGAAGTAAAGGTGTGTCTGCTTTATGGAGTTAGCCAGGAAGCTGGAGTGACCATGGCAGCTGCACACCACAGGTGAAGAGGGAGAGGGCTGCGTAGGTGCTTCTTTAGTGTGCATATGAATTATCTAAGTGGTCTTACTAAAATGCAGGTTCTAATTTAGAAAGTCTGAGTTAGGGGCAGAGATTCCACATATCTGACAATCTCTCAGGTAAAGCCAGAGTTGCTGATACTGTGAGTGCTAAGAATCTAGATCGTGTAGGAACTTAGAGTTGAGAATAAACACAGTAACTCTTACTATGAGGAGATGACAGAATAAAGGACCAGTTAGGGAGCTCTTGAGGTAATAAGGTGAGAGATGGTGAACTGAAGAAATATTACTGATAACTTTTACAGGAACATTTCTGGTAGAATAGTAGAAACAAAAACTTCACTGGATTGTTTCAAAAACAGTGGGAACACGGGTGGTGAGAAGTATAGAATTGTAGACATATTTTGAAGATAAGTCAAACAGGATTTGTCTGAAAGACCAGATCAGCAATGTGAGAAGGGAGAAAAAGGCAAAGACAGTTCCAAAGTTTTGGCCTAAACAACTGAAGGGATGGAGTTGCCATTGACTTAGATAGGGAATACCAAACGGGAAGAAAGTGTAGGAGCTAGGTTTTGAAAAATTTAAATTTGAAGTGCTAATTAGATATGTAAGCAGGGTTGCCAAATAGGCAGTTTGATACAAGGTTCTGAAGTTAGAGGAGGCTTAAGCTAGAAAGGGAAACTTGGAGTCATCAGCACATATAGCTAATATTAGAAGTCATGTGACTAAAATCACCAAAGGACTGCACACTGTGCAGCTAGAAAAGAGATCTAAAGCCTAAGCTCTGAGAGATTCCAGCATTTAGATGTCAGGCAAAAGAAGAATGAGCTAAAACTGCAATAAGTAGTTAAAGAGATAGCAGAAAACCCAAAGGAGTACAGGGGTCTATAAACCAAATAAAAAGTATATTTCAAGAGAAGGGAAGAAATTGACTTCGTCAAATGCTTCTAATAGTTGGAAAATGAAGCTGGGAAATGACTTAGGATTTAGTATGAAGATCATTGGTAGCCCGGTTAAGAGTTGCGATTGCATATCTCCTTTGGGTTAGATTTAAGTGAAGATGGGAAGAGGGCCAGGGATTTAGCTCAGTGGTTCCACCACCTACTTCACAAGCGCAAGGTCCTGAGTTCAATCCCCAGTACCAAAAAAAAAAAGAGAGAGAGAGAAGATGGAAGGAGAAAACTTAGTAAGTATAAACAGTTCTTCCCAGGAGATTTTCTTTAAAGGAAGGAGGAAAATGCAAATTTTATCTAGAAGTAGGATAGGTTATTTTTGTTTTGTTTCATTTGGCTTTGTTTTAAAATGATTAATAACAGCACCTTATATGCTGGTTAGGCTAATTCTGCAAAGAATTTCAGGTGATTCCAGAAGGGACAGAATTGCCAGAAACCTGTTCTTGAGTAGATGAGAGGATGAAGGATTGAAAGGTTGCTTGCTTTAGCTGGGAACGTGGACAATTTGTTCATGGTACTAGAAACATTGGATGCTTTTGACCACTCCCTCTGATTCCTGGCAACTTTGGTCAGAGATTTGTGGGATTGGTACTTGTTATGGTTTATATCTAGATGGCTCCCAAGAGCCGTAAGCACTCCTAGGCAGGTTTTTCAAATTATTGGATTATGGGGTTAGGAGGTGGGGCCTGGTCAGAAGAGGTGGCTAGAAAAGCCCTAAAATGTACACCAAGCTTAATGGGAGATTCTAGTCAGAGCTCAGAAGATGAGAATGCTGAATGTAAGTGTTGGGTATTGTGCCCCAAAAACGAAAGTTTGTACACTTTCCCGAAACTGTTTCTCATAAATTACTGTATGAAGAATGTACAAAAGTTAATAATTTAAAAATTGATCACACAACTGAAATGAGATTAACAGTGGAAGACACATTGCCTCAGACATCCAAAATGATTGAAATGTTTGGAAAATAATGCTGCCAAGATCAAATGGATCTCTGCACTTCATTTCAGAGAATGTGATTGACACTACTTATTTAGCTTCTTTTAAGTTTGTTTTGTTTTGTTTTTTAAGGACTTCAAAAATGTAGGAACCTCCTACTTCAATTCACCTGGTATATTTCCTAGCAAGAGAAAAGTATCATTTCTTACATTTTCCCTACAGTTCATATGCTCTCATTCCTTTCTCTGGTCACTATAAGCTGATACTTATTTTCATAATTGCGCTAATTCATACTCCCTAAAAATGCTAGCAACCTTCAGGTCTTCAAATTTAGTAGAATCTTTTTCACCTATCTTATTTGACTTCAGCAGCTTTTTACTTGGTTGGCACTTCCTTGCCAAAAGTCTTCCTGCCTTGTTCCCTGCAGCACAACAAATTTTCTTAACTGTCCTCTGCAGTCTCACCTTTCCCAGCTTTCTTTAGACCTTTCCCAGCTTTCTTTACACCTTTCCCAGCTTTATCTAACACTTGCTCCTAAAATGATAATGGTAACCATTTTCTATCCTGACTTTATTTTTTTCTGGAGAATATCTAGCACTGCCTATTATTTCCCTGGGCTGTTACCTCTCAAAGCTTTCTCGAGGCTTTTCTTCATTTCTGCTCCCCCAAAGCATGTCTCTACTTCTCCACGGGACGTTGCCACATAATTATAACACAAGGATTTTAAACTCAACATCTTCTGATCTGTTTCTCTCCCCTTCTCCCCCTCCCCTTCTTCCCCCCATCAATATGCATGTTCTTTCCATGGTTAACATTAAGTACATGATCACCAGTTTGGAATTTCAGAATTACCTTTGATTCTTAATTTTCCTTTACTATTTATATTCGGTCATTAAGTTCTCTTCATGCTACCCCCCTTTTTTTAATCGTAGCTTTCTTTCTACTCTCTCCTGCCTGTGATTATCTCTTGCTTAGCCTATTACACAGTCTTCTAATAGATCTTCCTTTCTTCTCTTAGGCCCTGTCTGCCTAAAGTATTTTGTACCTGATAGATACTTACTCGTCTTTCAAGACGTCATCTGTGAAATCTAATCTTTTCTATACATATAAAGTACATATAAAGTCATGCCCTCAACGATGCCTCTGTGGCACTGTTTACAAACCTCTACTTTAGTGCTTATACTCCATTATAACTACTGCGTATAACACTATGGAGTGCACATTCTTTCAGAATAGTTACTGAATCATACCGTGTCCCCTTTTTTGTCTCCCTTAATGTTCCCAGTGTTTCTTTGTCCACTTCTCAGATGGATGAGACCTTTGTACTAAGTCGTCTGGAATATGTTAGTGCGGGCAGAAACATATATCTACCTGATTTATTAACATTTGTACTTCGACTAGGGTGTGGCTCAGTGGTGCAATGCTTGCCTGTCATACTCAAGACCCTAGATTCAATCCCCAGGAGGGGTTGGGAGGGGGATAATATACATACACATACACATTTATACTTGAGCTAACTAAATTATCTTTTATGCTTTTTAGACGATGTAATTATCAATAAACACTAGAATCCAAAAGGAAATGGCCTGTGTTAGATACCATAAGAGTTATTGTTTGTGCCTTTTAAGAACTCTGTCTTCTGTGATCAGGTCAGACTACCTCTATAACTCCCATTCCTGTTCATCTCATCCACTAGGTGTTTCCCCTTCCCACTGGAGACCCATGAAAGGTAGCATACAAAAATCATACTCTGTTGTATGTTCAGAGCTAAAGCATGAAGTCTAGGTTTAAATGAAAGGTTGGTTTTTGGAAAAGAGAATTATAGTTGTTTTGGGCAGGCTTCTTCATGGAACTGACCAAGCTTGATCAAATAATTCTGTACTGCCTGTGGAGGTAGGCATTTACACAGATTGTCATGGAGGGATTCATTCACATACTGACATGTACTTTTGCTGGCAGAGAAATTTGTCTTCAACTTTAGTAAGTAAGAGAAGTTTCTGGTGTCATTGATAGTGAACTTTTGTACTTCTGACTGTTTGTTACTCAGATTAACACACCCAGAGATTCCCTATAGCAGTGGAGCCCCGTCATCCACCAACAACCCTGAGTTTGTGGAGAATCTCTCTCAAGGCCAGCTGCTTCAGAATGAGTCTTCAAATGCTGCAGAAGGCAGCGAGCAGCGGCATGAAGATGAGGTAAGCTAAGGCTCCTGTCATTGTCCTCTGCAGCTTGCAAAGAAGCAGTCAGCAAAGGAGGTATTGCTTGAAGTGTACATCACCATCACCTGGCCTTCTTAAATTACAGGATGACACCTGTAATTTCTTGGTTTATGTAAAAACCACGTTAATGATTTTAATAACACAGAAATATGCAGACTCTTTTTCCCCTGGCCTAAGAAATTATATTAGATGTTCAACTAATGCTTGTTGAATGAGTGAATGACTTAAGTAATTAGTGAGGAGTCCACATACCCTAGTTCAGGACCACACTGTGGTCATCAAATCCTGTATCATGGAGCCATATGTACCCAAAAGATTTACACCATTCATCAACTCCGCCTTTGCATAGAGTCCACCTTTCTCTCAATCATACAAAGGTTCCAAATGGTCCTTGCAAATGACTGATTATATTGTCAACATTTTAAGCAATTTTATTTTTTTACAGAAAAAGGTAAAACCATTGATTGATTGATTGACAGGCCTTGCTGTGTACGAGCTGGCTTCATACTGGAGATCCTCCTGCCTCAGTGTCCTAAGTGCTAAGATTAAAGGGATGTGCCCCCATGCCTAACAAAATCTAATGATGAATGTTTAAAATTTCTTGAATGTTTTAAAATCCTTAATAGATTTGTTTGTTTGTTTGTTTGTTTGTTTGTTTGTTTTCATGTGTGTGTGATGCTGGGAGAACCCAGGTTCTTAGAATGCTAAGGACAACCTCTGCCACCAAACTACAGACATGTCCAGCCCTTTTAGTAGCTTTAATGTTACTATGTTTACAAAACATGAAAGGAAGGGAGGAAGGGAGGAAGAGAAAGAAAGGGGGAAGAAAAGAAAAAAGAAAAAGAAAAGGCAAACTAATACCAAATAAACCATTTGCCGTATGGTGAACTGTTATACCAATGTATATACTGTATATTTAGAGGATTGCTATACCACAGTGAATACTGAGATCTTTTTGTCCCTCTTTGTTTATCTTTCTCTTCTCTAGAATATGAATTCTTGTATCTATAAAACAGTAGCTGACAGGCTAAGTGCTTTTTGTTTAATTAAGAAGCAAAAGTGTGATGTACCTTTTAGTCACTAAAGCCTGTAAAACATTAGTAGTACTGAAGTCTCTTTTTTTATTTTTTATTTTTTAGCCTTTTTAAAAGTTCATCTTTAATTTTACTAATAACTCAATATAGAGATGTAGCTCAGTAGTAGGGTGTTTATCCAGCATTGCGAGGTCCTGGGTTCAGCCCCTGGTACTGACTGATAATTCAATTTGTAAAGACCTCTGACCTTATAAAATATTACATCTTAGGCAGAAAATCATCAAGCCAAAGAACTAGTCTTCATTTTGGATATATTACTGAAATTTTTCTGAGGCTTAGATGTTAATTTAGAAATCTTTATTCTCTGCTATGGGAAACAATCTGGTTTTGAGTGCTATCAGTGAAAAAACACCTTCATGAGTTTATTTAATCCTTGTGCTACAGCTTGTCTCTTCTTTGCCCAGTGCATGTGACATCTTATTCTGATCTACTCTGAGGACATCTGCTTCTCTGGCACAGTGCTGTGTGCGCTGCTGTATTTCTCAGTTAGAATATTCCCCTGTCAGAAATCTGGACCTGTTAAGTGGCTATGAAGGCCAGAGTTCGCATGATCAGTTAGCACAAAAATAGCCCCTGTGGCAGCAGTTTGTAGTATAGCACATAAAAGGATCTACAAGCAAACTACCCAGAGTCCTCCGTATTCAACATTGTGATTATTTCTACCTGTGACACATGGAAAGCTTTGGCTAGGCAGGATCTTAGTCTCAAGAAAACATGCTATTGTCCTGTTGTTTGTTGGTGCCACTTTTGTTAAATGGGGAAACTGTTTTTGCTTAGTTTTTATTTTGATTTTGATTTGTTTTATAGCAAAGAAGTAAACGAGGAGGTTGGTCCAAAGGGAGAAAGAGGAAGAAACCTCTTCGAGACAGCAATGCCCCTAAATCCCCTCTTACAGGATATGTTCGGTTCATGAACGAGCGTCGAGAACAGCTTCGAGCAAAGAGACCAGAAGTCCCATTTCCAGAAATCACAAGGATGTTAGGCAATGAGTGGAGTAAACTGCCTCCTGAGGAAAAGCAGGTGATTGTCCCTACTGCAGATCCTCTGCCTGCTTTGATTTTATTTCAAAAACAATTTGCCAGAAAAGCAGAAAGGACAGACTGTTGATGGTGAACCTTTTAGAGATGAGTGCCCAAACTACAACCTAAAACCCCACTCATGTATCACAAAGTCCCAACAGTACAATTAAACCTGAGTACTGAGGTTTTAGTTTAGAAAAAACAACTCATATATTAACACCCTTTGTCTTAAAACAAAAACAAATAACATGCAAGCCATAGGTTCCCCACCACTGTGGTGGACAGTTGATCTTTCACTTTTAACTTCGTGGCAGTGCTGAGGAAAACAATGCAGTAGGATCCTTGTAATTCTTTTCTCTGGAACAGTGATTTTTTAAGGTGGTCCAGCATTTGCTGCACGGTATGAGCAGAAGAGACTCTAGTGTGCCCCTCAACCAAAGCAGCTGCACTTCCATTTGATTTATAAATGGAGAGTTCACGGAAACTTATTCTGACACATAGTTAAATATTAAGAAATCTATCAACATGGGGATCAGAGCTCAGTGGCACTGTGCCTGCCTTGTAAGTACAAAGGCCTGATTTCGATCCCTGGTACCACAAAAAAAAAAATCTATCAACATAATTTTTATTTAAGTGAATTAAATAAAAGATAATGAATTAAATAAGAAAAAACATTTGATAAAATTGCATAATTAACATAATTTTGTTTCAGAAAAAGATTTTACTGCTTTAACAAAATTTTATAGCTAGAGTCCTAGCAAAAGTAATACAATATGGAAAATAAAGCAAGGACTACTTGAACTCTCTTTCCTCTAAGACAGAAACTAATCCTATTGCCAAAATGAAATGAATTTATGTTAGGGAGATTGGCAGGAAATTCTGAAATGCCACCAAAACAGAGTAATGATAGTGATTGTAGGAGTGGCTTTGGGTTAAAAGTTTCTACCCTTCCAGCATCTGATGACTTTACAGTCCTTAAAGTGGATTCCAGACAGACTAAAGTCAAATTGAAAAATAAAATCAATTGAATTAAAAAATTCTCAAACAGATCAAATTAAATTGCAACTTAAAACTCTGTGTTTGTGGTATCAAGGTAATAGAAATTTGTATCACTCATTGTTTTGGTTTACAAACAATGAGATTGTGGGCCACTCATAATAGATCTTTTTTCTTTATCTCAAAATGAATGCATTTTTATTATTTACAGTTCAGAAGACAGTTCAGAAGCATGAAAATAAAAACGTTTCTCCTGAGATAACCATTATTGGTTACATGGAACAAGGGTCTTACCAACATTTTCATTTGAAAATAATTTCAAATACACAAAAAGTTCAGACATAAAAATAAACATCCAGGTACCCTTTCTACAGCTTCATTGTTGTTAATACATCCTATCCCATTTCTTCATTTGCATATCCACTCAGGAGTGCACACCATTTTAGCACATGCACACACAAACACACACACACGCACACACACCTAGCTCATGACTATTATATCCTTAACATATACACATATACAAATATTTTGTGAATAATTGTAGGGTATATTATATACATCATGTCTCTGCCCTTGAATAGTTTAATGTGTTTCCAAAGAATAGAGGTATTTTCTTACATAACTGCAGTAATAAAATACTGTAGTCTACCATCCATATGTCATTTCTTTCTAATAATTTCCCATTCAGTACAGATTCCAGTCTAAGGTCAGGTTTCATCTGTAGTCAAATCTCTTTAGTTTTCTTTTTTTGTTGTTTCTTTGGTTGGTTGATTGGTTTTGGAGGAGTTGTTTTGTTTTTGTTTTGGGTAGCAGAACATTCCTTGTTTCGAATTTATGTAATGTTTCCTAATGATTAGATTGGAGGAGTTGGAGTTGGGCATCTGTGGTCAGAATACTGCATAGATGGTGGTGTGACATTCTGGCACCACATCCACAGGAACACAGTGTCCTTTGATTCCTCATTAGTAATGTTCATTTTTGTTGACCTGCTAAATTTTTTTGATTATCCCTTTAATTAATAAGTAGAGGATGAGATGACATTTTAAAAACATGAAAATAGCCTCTTCAACATCAAAATTTTCCCCTAGATTTAGCATCTGTTGATGATTGATTTTTACCTTATTTAATCTTTATGGTGATGGTTACAAGACGATTTTTTTCAACTTCAGCACTCACCCAGTGTTTACCATTTGACCTTCAGCTTTCTAGTGTAAGCAAGAGCCCTTGTCCCCAAATATGTACCTGCTTGATTTCTGTTTACTATTGGTATAAAAAGTAATTAGTATTGCCTATTATTAATGGTATGCTTTTCTGTTTTTATACTGGTTTATAATTTATTACATGACTATAGTAATCAACTTCATAATTTAAATTAACAAAATGCTGTGTTATTTTGGTGTTTACATTGTCCCAGATTTAACCATTTTGGTGTCCCTTAATCTGATTCTTTTGTGGGCCAACATTTTTTACATTTTATCTGACTCTGACTTGTGTTCATTTAGAAACAGTATCTTAATTTGATGAATGAAAAGGACAATACATTGAACAAAATAATTCTAGTAAATCAGTGAACTTTTTAAAAGAATTAACAACAGAAAGCATCATGTGAATGTAAGCTGTCTTAAAGTAGTCCATTTTCAGGCCCATAGGGTAAGGTCATTCTTTTTATGTTGTGTATCTCTGGTTGTAGTACTCTGCTCACTGGCTCTTAAAAGGCCAGTTGATATATGAGATCATCCTAAATATGAAGTAGGGTAGAGAAATCAAGTAATACTCCTTTCCTCCCCTGGGAAGCCTGAATGTTCCTGTGTGGGGTGCAGGCTTCCTAAGGATCCTGGTGGCCGTGGGGCTGGAGGAACAACTGTAATCATCTTCATGAGTTTGGTACAAGAGTTCTCTCAGCAGAACTTGTCTTCATTGATTGAGAAAAGGCAGTAAATGATCTAGAAAATGAGAGTAACTAATTAATAAGAATCACTATCTTTTATAATTGAGATTTTCTTCTCTTTATATGACTGCTTTTCTAATCTCCCATAATGCATATTTCCCGGATTATTTTTTCCACATTCTAATCATTGTTTCCTTATAGAAAGTTAATATTTTACTTTAATAAGTTATCAGCTCCTAAAAGTAATTCCCCATTTTTTCTTTAGCGTTACCTTGATGAAGCAGACAGGGATAAGGAGCGTTACATGAAGGAACTGGAGCAGTATCAGAAGACTGAGGCCTACAAGGTCTTTAGTAGGAAAACCCAGGACCGGCAGAAAGGCAAATCTCATCGGCAAGGTATCAGAACCTAAGCAAGTGTGTCTGTGGTCTGTCTTGCCATTGGTGACAGCTTTAAAAGATGTGTCTCTGTAATTGCTTTATTATCCTAAATTCACTTCTACATATAATCTTGGATTTTTTATTTTTATTTTTTTTGGCACGAGGGATCAAACTCAGGACTTTGTGCTTATGAGGCAGGTGTAGTGCCCCAGCCCGTTTAGAAATTTCAGTAGATTTCTATATCCAGATCCAACAGTTTGGTTTATGCACTAAATTACTATTGCCTAACCCTCTTTTCCTAATCCTTAGATATTTCTCTCCTCTAAACATGTCTGTTCAATTATGTGACTGACTTGCTGTAACACTTTTGAGCCTTCCATGTACTATATCTCCCAGCCCCCAGTGATCCTCTTCATTCATGCATGTGTACATTCAAAAAGTATTGAACACCTTTTATTAAATACCAGGCCCTTTTCTAGGCATTAAATATATAACTGTGAAGAAAACAGATAAAACCCCTAACTTTAGAGGTTTTTATTCTCTGTTAAATTGTTCATCACACCCTTACAAGTTTTGCTTCCAGCTCCTCTTCTTCAGGAAACATTGCCAGAGGAGCACACCCACAGTTAGTCTGTTGTTCCTTAGCCATTGCAACTTCTCCATACTTGGGCATCTACCCTGCTAAAATCAGTGTTGTGCAAATAGTCTTTGGTATGTGTTTCCTGCGTACCTCCCACCTTGTTCTCCTCCAAGGTGAGAACTTTGTTCTTCTCATGTGCCTGATGGTATTCTCTGTAGGCATGGGTTTCCTTTAACTTTTGTCACCTGACCAATTAATAAAGTCATAAGGGAAAATGGCATAGTTTATGAGCACCTGCACATACCGGCAGGGGTTGTTCTTTGGCACAGCCATATATTTGGGTTTTGCTATTGTTTTCTCTTTCAAGTTAATATTGTCTTGGTCTTTCCTATTTTTAGATACATCCCGACAGGCGACCCATGATCATGAGGTAATTAGCCTTCTGTCTATCTATCACATACATTGCTGTTTGAATTGCTGTTGGGTTTTGTTTGGGTGATGGTGGTTGTTATTATTGTTTGTTTTAGTGAATGGCACAGTGTTGCCAGTCCCATAATTCAGGCTGAATGAGTTGCTTTAGCTCAAGTGTTCTTAACATATGGGAGACACTTAGGTCTGAGTCTCTGAACTACAGCCCCTATCCCCGATACGTCCATGGGATCTAACAATATTATTGGCTTTAAATAGTGAAGGTACCTGGAACAGAGTGAGGTATAGAAGTGAGAGCCAGCTAAAAGCTGCAACTTGACCATAGCTTATCATCACCACATACTATAGTCTTACACTAGAGAGATGTTATTCTGGTAATCCAGCATTTGGTTAAAATAAACCACTTGGTTGCAGTGTTCACAGAATATATACGACTGTAGTTCCTATCCCTCTTTTTGCCCATCCACCTCATGGTACATGTTTATTTGCTGGCTTCTTACCTCCTGTTTGGTTCAACCCCATTGACAGGATTTAAACCTATGATCCTATGTGTATGGGAGATTTGGGCCTGTGTGTGTTGGCTGTGCTGTGTATATATATATGGTTGTAAGAAAATAAAATCTTTGGTAATTCCATGCTTTAAAATGCTCAGTAGCTCCTCATTGCTTTCCAAATCGCATTCAAACTCAGCTATCCAGTCTTCTGTAAATAAGTCCCAACTTCTCATTCCAAACACCTTAGCTCCAAATACTTAAAAGCCTTTACTACTCTGTTCTCTCCACACCCAACCCTGCTCTGCCTCAAGTCTGTGCTCTTGCTGCGCCCTTCATGACACACACACACACACAAACACACACACACACACACACACACACACACACCATTCTTCACGCCCTCCCATCCTCAAATTTCTGACTCAAAATTCTAGTCATCTTTCAAACACTATTTCCATTTTCTCCTTCAAACTTGTTTCTTCTAGCTTTCTTAAACCCAGCCCTTCATGACACACACACACACACACACACACACACACACACACATCATTCTTCACGCCCTCCCATCCTCAAATTTCTGACTCAAAATTCTAATCATCTTTCAAACACTATTTCCATTTTCTCCTTCAAACTTGTTTCTTCTAGCTTTCTTAAACCCTCAGGGCTCTCTGTTTTCTTACGCACTTATATGGCATGGCATGGTGTTGCAGTTATCTAAGAATCTGTGTTATTCACACTTTTGGATTATGAGTCCTTTGAGGGCACACCAGGTCTAATTTCTGTCTGTATCTAGCACGTGCCACCTAACATGGCACTTGTAACATAGGAGATATGAGAAACCAGAGTTAACTGGAAATAACAGTGGAAATTTGAAAAAAAGAATTTCTCAGGTGCCCTCATACAAGTAGTCATTTTTTTTACTAAATCAAGGAAATGCATTTTTCATATTAATAACTACTTATCTTGAAGGTATAGTTCTCTTAACGAATTTGATGTTGGTAACTTCAGAAATATTAAGAAAAGTTTCAAATTCACAAGTCAAATATATGAATTACAAAGTGGGAAGCATATTAAACAGTATTTTATTCATATAAGTCCTAGTTAAATGTAGTATAGTTATATGACATTGCTATGCTCTAGGATGATGTGTTATGAATAGTTTTGCTTGAGAAACTATGTATACTTTGTATTTAAATGACAATTGAATAATGTTGTGAACTTTCTATTTTACCAGAGACTTGTACAATTAGTAATCATTTCCCTCTTAGTCTGTGTACCCACGCACCAATATCATGAAATTTCTTTTTTTTTTTCCCCTGCTTTATTACATCCCTCTCCTTGATAGTTGCAAAAGAGAATTTGGACAATAGTCTGAAACATTAGATCTCAACATTTTCTTTCTCCCCCACCCTCCACTGGGGATCAAACTTGAGTCCTTGTGCTTGCGAGGCAAGAGGCGGAACCGCTGAGCTAAATCCTTGGCCCCAAAATCTCAACATTTTCTAATCAATCACTGACTCATTTCATCAGTATGGATTTTTCTAGGCCAGACTGTATGTAGCATTTTTGTCTTCAATAATGTTGATAGTTACAGGCAGAAAAAAATGAGGTAAATTTAATCAATTATAGAAGCTATTTGAAAAGTAAAACTTTTTATTAAAAGTATTAGTAATATATGAATTTCTATAAATTCTATGAGTTATGAAAAGGGAGGAGTCTCTGATTTTTTATTTCAGGATTAGACACTAGTTAGACCAGAGGGGTGGTGGAGGGGAAAACAGGAGTAGGTAGAGGAGGAGCAGTAGATTTTCAAATGTGTGTAGAGTAGGCTTTGTATATCTGTCCATCCATATGTCCACATCAGTGTAAAGGTCTCTTAGGTAATTAACCTAGTTAATGTCTGTTCATTAATATTTCCTAAACTAGGTAATCTCAAAACAATTGCAGTGTAAGTGAGCTAGTTTGAAAGTTTTTAAATTGTTTTTAAACACATTTAAAACTCTTGAGCCAATTATGGTGGGTGGCACATGTGTGTAATCTCAGCACTCTGGGAGGCTGAGACAGGAGGGCAACTTAGCAAGACACTGCCTCAAACAGTATGATTTTCATAAGTATAACTTCTTAGTATAATAGTTAATAAAAACAGGAAAGCATTATAGCTGAAAAACAACCACAGAAGGTTCCATAAAGGAATGAGAAAAAGGATTAGGCTTAAAGATGACCCACGTTTTGTTTGTTGTTGGGGTGGGGGTTTATGTTGGACAGTATGAATAAGTTGATAAAAGAGCAAGTACGTATTTTGCAAAATTCCTAAAAGATAGATTCTAAATACATACATATTTCCCTTATGATGAATAAAATGAGATTATGTGATAATACGGTCTATGCTCCTCTTAGAATCCTAAGACCTCAGAGATCCTCTCCATCAGCCAGCTTATTCTGCCTGTGAGGAAATGTGTTTTGCCTAAGACAGGAAAGAATGTACCCAGAATCACTTACTGAACCAATCTAGAGGCAGAAGTGTGGCAGAAACCCAGGCCTCTGTATCACAGTCTAGCACTCTTGGCAGCACAATGCAATGCTATATGGGATAAACTAAACAGTGTTGAAAAGTGAAAATGGGCCTCATTGCCTGATGCCTGAGATGTCAGCAAAATATGTTATTAGTTAAAAAATTATTTGGTTTGTGGTTTAGGGGTGTAGCTCAGTGGTAGAGCACTTGCCTAGCATGTGCAAGGCCCTGGGTTCAATTCCTAGCACATGGTGGGAGGGAGACAGAGACAGAGAGAAATTGTATTGTGACTAGTAAAGAAATCTATTGTATTTCTAATGGACTTGGCTCTCTGAGACATTATTACCTAGGCAGGTACTGGAGAGAGCATTTAATAGCTTAAGAAATGCTGACCTGAAAGCCATTGGGCACAGCAGTAGGGTACTTCAGCATGGTACACAATACCAAGAGCATTCCCCAAAGTAAAGGACACTTGAAAGAGGCATATCACAAACTCTGAAATTCTGGCCCTAAGCCTAGATCACAACAAAATAGATTCAGTTCAAAAGGGCCTCTGTTCCCTTACCCTCCACTCAATATATAAAATAAAAACCCAGTAAAGAGTGTTCTTGCCACTGTCAAATCAAAAGCCAGGCCACTAGACCCCAGAGTCAGCTTGTGTTACTCTCAAAAAAGTGTCTACACCTCATGCAGGGACAACAATAGAAACAATAATTTTGTTTCTCCTTTAATTTATGAGAAATGACAAAATGACACTCAGCCTGAACAAATTAGACCCTTTCAATGAGGAGGTAATCAAATCCTTATGATTTTAATCCCTTGAGTGATCCTTGGAGCAGCTTAAGTATTTCTGCGCCCCCAGGAGGATCTTCTCCATGCCGAGTAATGTACTCAGTAATGGAAGAGTGCTGATGGTTTTTATTACCACTCTTCTGTTAAGTAGAATTTCTCTGTTGCTTTCAGAGGCTGAACAGTTTCATCTAATTGCTTTAATGTTTCTTATTTTGCACTCTTAAGAATCTGCATCAATGGGCAGTGTGTTAGTTATGGCTGTTATGGGGTTATCCTCTGCCCTTAACATAATGGGCAGCTGAGGCAAAGAAGAGAACAGGATTACCAAGCTAAGGAGTCAGGACATTGGAGCAGGCTCTTTGTACCATGGTAAAAGGAGTCAAGCCTCACCACTACCACTGTGTGCACATACGCATACACACACATATATACTTACCCCTCTGACTGGCAGATACTAAGACTTAATAGCCAGGTAACTGATCTCATATACTTGTGTAGTGAAGGCAGAGACTGTACAAGGTAAGATGATTAAAATCCTAAGGCCTTGTTCCAAATCACTTATGGTCTTATTTTTGAAACTTGTGCCTTGTGCATGTTGAGGTTGTATATCGTCAGTTCTCAGTTTTCCGAAAAAATTCAGTAACAAAGTTAAAGCATATGGTAAGCCAGCAAAATTGAGAAAAACCCGCAGAGAAATATGTCTTAAGATCCCTTCTGGACCAGCCTTTCTTGCCCACACATTGGTTCTCATTGAAATCCACTGGTTCAAGGTGGAGCTCTGCATGTGGAAACTCAGGGCTTTCGATGATAATTTGGTTGTTTGTTTTTAAATTGTTTTGGGAAATTTTTTTTCTTTCAGTGGGAAGAAAAAAAGAGCAAAAATTAAGTGCTCTGAAATGGTTCCTCAAGTAAATACAAGTGTTTCAGATTTCCATCTTAAATGTCTGTCTTTCCCACTGCCACTGACAGGGCACTCCCACAGCTCATCCACCTTGCTAGGCAGACACAGGTCGGAGATAGGAGCACAGCCATCACAATGCTGCTGACTGCTGGCTTCTATGCTGCTGACTGCTCAGCTCTTCTGCTGGGCACCAGAGCATTCTTGCTTTCAAAGGCAGATGTAGTGGTAATGAGTAGAAAACATCCTATCTCTAACTTTAAGCATGTTTTTATAAGGATAAATTCTAGGTATTTTGTGTACTGTTTTTCATGTTACAAGGTTTTAGAATCTTCAGGGTTCGCTAGCAATTTCTTCAGTATTCATTTCCTGCTGTTCTCTTTACCATCTTATGCAAGATTTTGAACACCACACCAAGACATTTATAGTTATAGTCATTATACTTTCAACTTCAATTTCATTGAAGAAATGGCAGCCAAAGCATCTTGAAATATTGACTTTTTTCTTAAGGATCATTGTTGAATCTATTTTGCAGTGGTTTTGTGAAACTTTTTATTTTAATGACTTATTGGTGAGTTAATTTCAGGCTTTATTATTCCTTTTCTAGCTCATATAATTCTTAGCTTTCTCACTTATAGAGCCTGGTTATTTCTGACTTCCTGGTTTTGTTTGTTCTTCTTGAAGAAAGTCTGTAAGAGCCCCAAAGATAGACTGTTCCTTCTATATAGACTATTATTTTCTGATAAATAGAAGTACCAGTAGAATATCAGTATTATTGTTCATGGCTGCACAGCTTTGCTTACAATTCTAACTGTCCACTCTGCAAATTATCTCAGAGAGCATTGTACCAGCATGACCAATTACTCAGTTCTTGCCCCAGCCCCTTTCACAGATGTATACTGTTGAGTATTCAAAGTACAGAACTAAAAAATGGTTTCCAGATTCTCCACTAGAGGAATACATGTAGATTTTTATTTAAGGTTTCTCATTGCACAGCAGATACACCCCTGAGTAAACTAACTACTTAACTACTTGAGCTCAATGAAAGTCCAATTCCAGTAAAAAGGGGAGAATAGTCCCCTCACAGGCTTACCTAAACTGATTCTTGCTCATCCTATTTCTTTAAGGAAGACGTGATTATCGTGCCTCAGGCACTACCGCTTAATTCAGCTTTTAAGAATTAACTTTTGTTCTTGATTCATAGAAAGAAACAGAAGTCAAGGAACGGTCAGTGTTTGACATCCCTATATTTACAGAGGAGTTCCTGAACCACAGCAAAGGTGATTATAGCAGTACAGTATTTTTGTGTCCTGCGGCCTTTGACAGAGGATTTAGTTCCCCAGATGAGTTCATTGCTTGAAAGCAATGGTGGTAGTGATACCCCTTCTGCTTCTGTTTTACTCTGTAATAAAAACAGCTACTCAAAGACTGGTGAAGGAAAGGTAGGCCAGTGTTATAAAGCTTCTTGGTCTCTGGATCAAAAGAAACAAATACAAATCATGAGAGCAATTGCTTCCAGACTGGTAGCTGGAACCCTGTGTACCAGTGAACGTTTACATAGGAGCCCAAAACAGAACGAGTGATTGCAGAGCTGCTCCCCTTGCAGTACAGATGGGGGGCCCATGTAGCTGGGCCTGGCCAGGCTCCCAGGATCCACCTTGCTGTCCCCTCAGGCTTCAAACTGCATAATTTTAAAAAGCAAAATCTAACCCCCACCCCAAATAAAGAGCTATATACCAGGAATTGCCACTGTTTGCTGCAGTCTTATATATAGTACATACAGCTTTAAGAATTAAAATAACTCTGGGGAGCCAGGCATTTCACTGCTGAAACTGCTGTCTAGAATGCAGTAATGAGAGTGAGGAGATGAGCAGAACTTTCTATAAGAGGAATGGGACCCCTCCAAGACTTCTCCTCAAGTTGCCTGTGTTCTGGTGGATCCCCAGCACGAGAGGCTGAGCTGCGCCAGCTCAGAAAGTCCAACATGGAGTTCGAGGAAAGGAACGCGGCCCTGCAGAAGCATGTGGAGAGCATGCGCACAGCTGTGGAGAAGCTGGAGGTGGACGTGATCCAGGAGCGCAGCCGCAACACTGTCCTGCAGCAGCACCTGGAGACCCTGCGGCAGGTGCTGACCAGCAGTTTTGCCAGCATGCCCTTGCCTGGTAACGTCATCTCTCTCCAACATCTCCAGTGGTGGGGTAGGGGGCTGCTGTTTATGTTGGTGTTGATGTGTGGAGGCTGAAGTCTCCCTAAGAGGAAAAATCAGAAAGATAAGTTTTTTTTTTTCTCCTCCACGTTTTCCGTAGTATTATATATCACAAATGTGTACTAATTTAAAAAAAAATGTTTTCTGTGGATCAAGTATGAGATTGTCAGTACTCCTGGGCATGGAGGCATACACCTGTAATCCCAGAATTGGGGAGGCTAAGGCAGGAAGATTGGGAGTTAGGGGCCAGCCTTGGCTGCATAGTGAAACTTATCTCAAAGGAGGAGGGGCAGGGCTAGAGATGTAACTCAGTGGAAGAGTGTTTGCCCAATACATTGCAAGTCCCTACTTTGAATCTCCTGCACCAACTACAAAAAAGTCAGTGTTGGCTAAAATCATCCAAAATTTCAGACTCTGGTCATATAAATTTTTACGTACCTCTATCTTAATATAACCTATTTTCTTTTCCATTAAGCTTTACTTGATATTCAGAACAATAGAAATTGAGGAATAAATCCTGAGGAGAGAGCTTTTCTCTTGATGTATGTTTTCCTGCCTTGTGTTTGTTTTTTCTTTCATGAGAAGGAAGAGAAAACAAACACTGGTGTTTCTTATATCCTTGCTCAATTGAGGACAGTGACAGCAGAAGGCTGGCAGAATCTAACCTTTGTTACATACAGATACTCCTATATGCTGCATGATGTAGCCCATCTGTGTATAGTATTTAGAGTATGTGGATTAGCTTCATCTCTTTGAGGTCTAAAAGCTTTTCCTTATAAAATTAAAATCTGCCTATGGAGCAGACCACATTAGAGTCACAATTTCTTTTGCTGTGGATTTCCTTAAATGTTTTATAGTTGAGCTGAATGGGAAGATTTCCCTAATTTGCTCCTCCTCTCTCACTTCAGGAAGTGGAGAGACACCAACAGTGGACACCATTGACTCCTATATGAATAGACTGCACAGTATTATTTTAGCGAATCCCCAAGACAATGAAAACTTCATAGCTACAGTACGGGAAGTTGTGAGCAGGCTCGATCGCTAGGGAACGGTGAGTACTCATTACTGGAATGCTTCAATGGCAGCATCCCATCAGAAACCAGATGTCCTCAGACCCTGTCAATACTGCTGAAATCCTGAAATTTCATCAGGGGAATGAGCTAAAGGTTTGATTAAGAGTCCTGCTCCCTGGTTGCTGAGAGTCTTTCTAAATAACATTAGAAAATAGAATCAAGACAGTTTTTCTTAGGCGTGCTTTGGAATGGTTTAATGGAAAGAATGTGATTGTTGTATTTGAAATCTCAGTTCTAGCTTTGACACTTATTCTCAGGTGTTAGTTTCCCAAAGAATTTTGAATACCAGCTGAGAAATTTAAAGGAAATGTCTTGCAGAATGAAATAAATATCATTTCATAGTTAATCTTTCTTTTCCTTGGAAAATATTAATGGTTTACAAGTGGTCATTGATACACACACACACACACACACACACACACACACGAGTATACATATATGCATGTCTACGTAAGTAGAAGCATTCTCATTCACCACTTGATAGCAGATAATATGTTAAATGTCGTGGACTACCTATACAGTGAAATAGTCCATACCTTTATTAAAAAACAAACTGAATAAGAAATAACAAGCTTTTAAAAAGTATATTCAACAAATGACTAGTAGCATATGTTAAATCCTTTTAGAGGAGTCACAAGTACATTTCCAAAAGGGATCTGTCTGTATATACTTTTTGGTACTAATGATGTAGTTCACTCAGATTCCCAGAGATTGTGTATTCTTTCATTAAACTGATCTGTGGATTAAATTGCCCCATACTGCAGATCTGTAAACAGTGTAGAAATCTTGAGTTGGACCAGACAGCGAGGTACCATATATTAAAACAAGAGTCAGCAGCACGAAACTCCTTCAGAGCATCATGGATTTGAGTCTGTGCTGCAGGTCTAGGAGCATCCTCAAAACACAATTTTTGTTATAGGTTGGTTTGGACTGTGAGCAGCAACATGTAGAAGGATAAATAAAACCCATACTTCTTTATCTAATGAGGCAGCATCTGCTAACGGAGACAAAAGCAGAAGTCTTTATCCTTCTTAATCATGCCCTTGGATCATAACTGCACAAGACAATTCATTACCCTTCAGTTTGGGCCGTGCTCAGATGGGGAAAGGATTACTGTCCTTCCAGTGTGCAGTCAGATGGAATGGACTGTACTTCTAAGAGATGGCTGGACTCCTTGCAGAATAAAGAAGTGGCTTTACTGCTGCTGCTTAGGAAAAGAACAGCTTGCAAATCTAGGCCTGGGATTAGGAGCTCATCATCTTTCTCATTATCACACAGTGTTTTCAATTAACACTCTTGTATGGTGAAAGAAAATAGTAATTGATAACGTGGTGTCTCCTCACCTAGGTATAGGGCAGTGAGTGCAAGAAGGAAGCCAAAAGTGGTTTCCACTTCAAGCATGTTGCTAGTAGGTTCTCCTGAAGCGCTGTTCACCTTAAGAATGTAAGCTTCAGTATCTGCTCTCTGAGGGGTCTTTGAATGTTACCATTGGATGTTACCATTCTTGATTTTAACCTACAAATATTTTGTCCTTGAAAAAATGCCTGCAAGTAAACTGTTATATCACTACAGATTTTTATAATCTAGCCAGGCAAACATAACTATGAATAGTTGGTTCCACACATCACCTCCTATACTGTCAAATGGAACAATTATGAAGCCTGTGATTAATTCTAGCTTGGCCTCATTATACAAATATGTACAGACAGCTAGGCCTGATGTCCCCAGCACTCGTGCTGCAATTAATTACTCTGACATGAGCTTGGCAAAGGGTTCATTCCACTGTCAGGAGCCAGTGAGTGAAGGGAAGCTAATGGTGTACAAGTTTCAGAGGAGCATAATAAAGTAGGAAGGGGCCTTTAGAAATCCAGCATTTTGTGTGTGAAAAAACTGAATTCCAAAAAGTCAAGATCCCCTGCCTGAAAATACCTGAGAGGATGAGTAACCTAACCCTCCATTCAGTGAGTGTCTAAGACATGGCTATAAGGAGGCACAGCTGGGAGAAGGCAGAAGCAGTGAAAAAAATCTTGCAACAGAGCATTAAGATAAACAGGAAAAAGTATAATCCAGTAATTATGATATTATAAAATTTTGGTCAGCCCATTTAAACATTATTTTTATAAATTTACAATGGAAAAAATTTCCCCTTGGGCCCAGGATTTAGTTCAATGGCACCATGCCTGCTTCGCAAGCACAAGGTCCTGAGTTCGATCCGCGGTATCAAAAAGAGAAAAAAAAGAAACACTATGAAAAATTGCCCTATCTGTCATCTTGTGGCCCAAGTGTAACTGAGAGGAGGCCAGGGGGTTAATTTTTAGTTGAGAGGTGACCACATTATATAACCATTAAAAGGCATGTGTTCCCAGTTTCACTTGAACCAGTTGATAAATATTTAGCTGTCTCAGGATTGAAAAAAAGTCTTGCATGGTTGCATTTTTATCAACATGAGAAAACGCATTGGTCATATGTGTACAACATGTTCCTACATACAGATACCCTGAAGTTTATACTTGAAGAGAATTGATGTTGAGTGCCTGGAATGGGACACTACTCCCCCTCCTCAGATTTGTCCCTCATATTTGCTCCTCTGCACTTAGCTGCTTATTTCCTCCCTCCCATTGTTGCTGACCTGGAGCAAGCCATGTCTTGATTGAAATGTTCCCTGAAACATCTCAGGGAGGCCGTCCACTTGCAGCACTATGCAAACTATGCTCCTCGCTCCAACCCTTAGGAAAATAAAACTAAGCATTTTGTAATCCATAGTCCTAACCCTTTCCCATCAGCACCTACCTTTTTGGTGTCCACCCCTACCTCCCAATCTACAGGTCTTACAGCTCCCAGATGTCCCATGTTTTTACTTGTGTGGAAAGAGAAGCCATCTGTGGAAATTGGAACTGTGTGGGGTCCCAGAAGGACCACAGACCCTTCTGCTTGTGAAGAGTTGTCAGTGAGTGCAGCCCTTGTGCCCCAGGTAGCCAGATTAAGGAGCACAGAGGCACGTGTGTGAGAACTCCCTACGGATCATCCTCGGCGAGCTTTGAAAGTGTACAGCCGCTCTCCCAAATCTTCGTTTCCTGTCATCTCCATCTTTGTTAAAGCAGATCTGCATATATTTTGTTGACTGGGTGACCCTGAAACCACTGCAGCAGAAGGAAGACTTCAGTTGTCTCAGTTCAAGATTGGACCCTTTTATCACTGGAGCTCCAGTTTTCTCACCTAGCTGTCACTTTTTTTTAATGCCTTTGGAGTGATTTTTGCTTCCCTTCACCCCCACCAAGTTATACATCTCTATTTTCTGACTTCTGGGCTCTTGCTCAGCGGGGCTCTGAAGGAGCATTTCTCTCATTGGACCGGCCCAATCTTCTCCCATCATTGCCCTGCTGTGACTGCAAAGAGAGGAGCTTCTTGTTGACAGTGCCCTGTGGATCTGAGGCTGTGTCCCCCACCCCACACTGTGCTCAGTGGGTGCAGGCCCTCCTCTTGGGCAGTTTTCTGATTACTGCCCTGAAGAGAAAGGCACCTTCTTCCTCCCTGTGCTGCCCGCTGTTTTCTGAGCAGTGCTCCTGCATAGACATGGCAACCCCACCCCAGTGAGACTCTTCTGTCCCCATCTGCATCTTATGGAGCATTTTGCTGAGAAAAAGGTCTTGATAAACATAGGGAGAAGGGGGAAAAGGTCTCTCTTTTTTTTTTTTTAAGCCCAGAATTTATCCTAAGTGAAACCTAAGATAATCCGTCTCATTTAGTTGTGAGATTCATGGACTTAGGTGGAAATAGTGTTGGAAATAGTCTCTTGAGCTGGCTGAAAGGGCACAGAGGAATTTTCCTGTTCTTTATCTTTCTGTAGCCATTAACTGCTGAATATGTGCAAAAGACAGGCTTCTTTCCTTCCCTCTCCTTAGTAAGAGATTTTTGTTTTTTAACAGCAAGAGTGAAGAGGGTTCTGATTATCTCCTCAGGGTCTTTTTATCTTTTGTCTTTACACTCTAGAGCACAAGGCTGAAGGTGACAGCTGAGATCTTTGGAACCAAAGCAGAGCATGCTGGGCCCATGGCCTTGGCACCCCACCACTGAAGGCAGGTGGATGGCAGCATGGCCCCTCACAGTTTGCCCCAAAGCCCCAGTGTGAACCAGAAACCCTATCTTATAACTGCACCATTTCCTCTCAACACTGTATTCCTTGCCTGCGTTTGTCAGTCCCAAGGAAATTAAGAGCAACAAGTCATTCTTTGTGATGTCTAGTGTTAATGCATATGCAGTTTCTGTGCCCTGAAGCCCACCTGCCACCACTTGGCAATATTTTTTAGTAAGACCCCCTTCCTTCACTCTCTGTTGCTATAAAGCCAGCAGCTCTCCTCCCTCTGTATTTTTCCATTTCCTTGCTCTTGTCTTACTGTTTTTGTCACTTCTCTTAGATGCCTTGTCTGCTGAGTCCAAGCTAGAACTCACTGTCTATGGCAGAAGGACATCCAAGCTGGCTCTGGTGTTTGCCTTCTGCCAGATGCTTTCTGTCCCCTCTTCCTTCCTCTCTATATTTCTCTGTTTCTGTTTTGTGCTCAGTTTTGTGCAGCATCAGCAGCACTGCTTTTGTGGCCAGGAAAGGCTGTGACTCTAGCTGGACACCTCACAGTGACTGGACACATGTGAGTGTGCAGGGACACAGAGCTTGGGGGCAGCCTGCAGCATGGAGCCACACACACAGAAGCAGCTCCTCACCTGCCTCCCAGTGCTGTGGGGGGGACAGTGAGGTTGTGGGGAGAGGCCTGTGCCACCTCCTCTCTGCTGTCACGGCTGACACACCACCTTATTCCTGTGTCCCAGGAGACCGGTAGACACTCCCGCACTGACGTGTTCTCTTAAGAAATAAGCTGTTGTCTATTCAGTGTTAAAGGCTCCCTTCTTTCTTTTTATTAAAACACAAGGAACAGCTGAGGAAAGGGAGACGAGGTGTTCTATTTCTGACAAATTTTAGAAAAAATATTGTGTACATGTGTTTGGAACTGTTGAAATGCCAAGTTTTCTGTACAAGTGTTTTTGTAATTAAACTTTTAGATTTTCTTTGTTTTTAAAGAAGTTGATATGCTTGCTTGACATTTGTCTCATTAAAACTTTTCTATGTTGAATCCACCTGATCTAGTTTTACTTGAATTGTAGTTTTTAAAAAAAAGTCCTACTGCTGCTTTCTCTTTGTAAAGGCTTTGTCAACTCCACATTAATCATCAAGTCTGTTAAGCTTTCAAAACAGTAGCACATTCATTTTGCTAATGGCTTATTCAAAATGTGTCTTCACCTGTTTGAAAATTCAGCTCTTCGATGTATGTTACAATAATACAATGAGTCCTAATTTATTTTAATATAGCAGTAGTATTCTAGAGGCAACTTGGAGGATGTGTTTAAAGTCAGTGACTCTGAAGTCCCCTTGATAGGAGATCTTTGACAGAAATAAGTTGTGCTTAAATGCTTGCTTTTGAAAAAATAACCGCTACTTATCCAATCAAAATATCTTTAAAGGAAATGTTTTTAAGATCCTTTGAGTAAGGTGGCCTGGCTTCCAGTCCCTGCTGCTCTCCAGGTAACCAGCTGTGTGATGTTGCTTTGTTTCAACTCCAGCTTCCTTCTGTGACAACATACACCTGAGCTCTTATGGTATTGTTAGGATAGAATTCGGGAACAAACCACTGTGAGATACGGGGATGTCAGAGTTAGGATGGAGTCTGACTACATCTAACAGAAATCCAAATCAACAGCTTCAGTAAGCAGCAGGTTGGCCTGCAAGCATACCAGCATGGAGACGGTCATCTACACCACAGCATGGTTTCTTTCTCGGTCACTTCATGGTCCAAAATAGCCACTTGGCCAACAGCCATCACTTTGAAGTTCCTGGAAATGTGACGGAAAGAAGGCAAGGACAAATTGGGCAAGCAAGCCTAGATTTCCAAGAGTCTTCCTGGAAATCATACTCAGCACTTTCACTTAATTTGGCCAGAACCCAGTCACATCCAAGATATGTCATATCCTTGTGTACTGCTCCAATAATGAACAAGGTTTAGTAGAGAAGAAGGAAGAAATGAATGTAGAATAGGCACTGAAGTTAATGTCATAACTCATGTGCATGACTCTACTGAGCCCAGTCCAGCTGTATTAGTGAATGGAATGTCTTACATTTCCTTTGCCTCTTGGCCTTTTTCCATACCCACTCACAGACACTCAGAAAACAAACTAGTTTCAGACTGAATTGGCATTTCTTGATCCCACCCTACCTTCTCCCCTACCCTTCAACAGCTGGTAGCCAGGTTTATTTGGCAAAAGTCAACATAAACAGGTGGTAATACTTCCTCAATTTGTTTGTACCCTTTCTCTTAACTGCTCAACATCTGCTGGATTAAAACAACACCAGGATAATTTCTCCCTGAGGGTGGGGATAGTAAAGTATTGTTTGACAGAAAAGCTCATAGCTACTTCCTGCCCTCTGAAAGAATTTCCTTCCTTGCAACCGGGAGTTCCAAATCAGGGTTTTTTCCTTTGTTTTATTTACCTTTTATACAGCCTGCACTCAGGTAGTATATGCTTTGCAGTATCCATAGACATAAACACTAGCTAATGTGCCAACTCATAACAAAAGATAAGGATTGGAAGTCAGGAAGATCAGGTGAAAATGTTAATGTCCATCCACTCATCTAGAAATTATTTCAGGAAAATAATGTGTCTACAGGGAGAAGCTTGCCAGAGGTGAAAATGTAAGTTCTCTTAGCCTAGCAAAATGTAGAATGGAGAAGGAACCTCCACAGCATAGGACTGGCACTGGGAAATTAAGAGCAGAAATGTATATTTTCCCAGTAAGAGGGTTTTTGTAAATCACTCACAGTACTAGGTCAGTAGGAAAAAGTAAGGGACTAGGCCCAGGGTTTCTCCTCCTGCTTGTATTTGCAACATCCAACAGCTAGAAACCAGAGTTCTTTATAATCAGCTCATCTTCATTTTAGTTCACTATTTGAGACTAGAAGGTGTTTGTTTATAAAATAGGATTTCAGATAGTCCAGTGAAAAAAGACGTGTATATAAAAAGTTCTGGGCCGGGATTTAGCTCAGTGGTTACACCGCCTGCCTTGCAAGTGTAAGGACCCGAGTTCGATCCCTGGTACCAAAAAAATAAGTAAATAAAAAGTTCTAACAACAGACATGTACACAAATGGTACAGATAGCTTATCTGAAGAGATTTAATAAAGGTAACTTAAAAATAAAAGTCAGCTGCTAAGTCATTAAATTGCCCAGACTTGCAATACTCCTGCCTCAGCCTCCCAGAGTATTGGGATCACAGGTGTATACCACTAGGCCTACGTAGCTAGAGGTGAAAGTGGAAGAGAAAGTAGATCAGAGTCTTGGGAGATTAGTAAATTAACTAATAAGGACATTATCTGGAATGTAAATGAAATTTATTTTTATTTATTCTGTAGTACTGGGGATTGAATTAGCCTACATCCCCACTTAGTTCTCTGTAGTTTGTGTTGCTTTATTTTGTTTTTGCAGTACTGGGGACTGAACTCAGAACCGTCACACTGAGCTATGTTCCCCATCCCTTTTTTATTTTGAGACAGTCTCGCTAAATTGGCCCCTGGGCTCAAACTAGCTATCCTCTTGCCTCAGCCTTCCAGAGTGCTGGGATTATAGGTTTGCACCAAGTCTGGCTACCCTGTAGAATTTTTATGTGGGATAATTCATGTAAAACCTTTAGAGAGTGACTGCACAAAGTAAAAGACAAATACAGACTTAAAGTTTGTGGAAAACTCGCGAGAAAGAAAAATAACAAGTACACACATAATGTAGGCCAATTATTCTGTTATGCTTTTTACATAAATTGTCATTTAATTCCTACCCCATTTTACAGAGTAGGACTACTATACTCATTTTATAGACAAGTAGGTAAACAGTCAGGGATGCTAAATGACTTGGCAGTTACACAACTACAAGCAGGTAGAGAAAGAATTGATGCCCAGAGGATTCTGACTGAATGTCCCACTGTAACCTCACTGTTTCAGTGCTGCACAGGACCACCAGAGCCCAAACCGGCAGTGCAGGGCTCCACAGTGTTTCCGGAATGTCTTTACTGGGCCCAGGTCCCCAAGGACCTTATCTCCTGCTGAGTGACTAACACCTCAGCTACTGGCCAGGATGAGATGAAATGATGAGGAAGTAAGGTAGGGGGACCCCCGCCAACAATAGGAATTGAGCCTTTTCACTGAGCTGCATTCCTCATCCCTTTTGATTTTATTTTTTTGAGACAGGATCTTAAGTTCCCTGAGCTGGGCTTGAATTTGCCATCTTCCTGCCTCAGCCTCCAAGAGTGCTGGGATGGATTACCATTTTTAAAAAGTATCTTTTGAAGAAAGATCTAAGGTTGACTTTACAGAACCTGCCAAGGGAAAGGCAGAAGGAATAGCAGAAAAGGGATCTGGGATTCCAAAGAACAGCACAAAGGCTGAAGCAGAGGACATAAGATGAAGTGGTTCCCCCATAAGGTGTTATAAAGAGATGGAATTGTATCAGAGTTGCACTGTGGAGAGAGTTCCACACAAGTCACAAGGTCAGATTTGGATTCTTAGAGACCCCTCACTTCTGTGTATAAAATCATGGGAGGCAAAGAACAGGGACCCACTTAGCATACTGGCACAGAGTCCAGTGAGAAGTGACAGCAACGTGGCCTGGAGGAGGCAGTGGGGGTGGCAAGGAGCAGATAGGCCCAGAATATATCTTGGAAATGTAATGAAGAAAAGCTGAAAGAGATTAAATATGGAGAATTGAAGAGAAAAAATAAAGGACTCCATAGCCAGGCATGGTAGTACACACCTGTAATCCCAACTGTTCTGGAGACTGAAACAGGAGGATTGCAAGTTCAAGCTAGGTCTGAACCCAGCAAGACCCTGTCTCAAAATTAAAAGGGACCAAGGACACAGCTCAGTGACCAAGCATTTGCCTACCCTCCAGGTTCAGTCCCCAGGACAGGTGAGGTAGAGAGGAAACAATGGTCCTAGATTTTTGGCTTGAGCAGCTAAGTAGCAGAGGTACTAAGTACCAGACTGACTGAGAAGGCATATACCTCAAGACAAAAATATGTGGAGGAAAGATCAAGAATTCCGTTTTGGACTAGCTGAGTTTGAGATTCCACCAGCGGCAAAGCCCTGAACTGAGACCTCTGCTGTCGGTTTCATAATTCCTTTCAGCTCTTAAAGTTCTGTGGTTCCGTGAGCTGCTAACTTTGGGTCAGTATTTGCTAGCATGCTGTCCCTGCTCTGCGCATGCGTGCACACGAACATCCTGCTTGCTACTCAAGCTGCTCATTGAACTATGAAATTAAGGAATGGTCTCCTTTTTAATTCTTCAATCTCCTTAGTAAACAAAATTTTAAAAGCTTGCATCTGAATTTGTTTAAGATTGGCAAAAAGCAACTTAATGCTCTAGAATATAAAAATCATACCATAACCTGATGGCTAGAAAATTCTGGGTAGTAATGGAAAGCATCTGCTTGGAGGAGACTAGCCGAAAATATATTGGGTGTCTTCCAAGGAAAGGAAATGTGAGATGACATCGAGACACAGCCAGGAGGTTTATCGGCTCAGCAAATGTGGCAGCGGGAGCTGCTTTCACCCTCTGCCAGGCAGTTGGGTCTGGGCCAGGAACGCCCAATGATAACCTCTCTCGGGGCTGGTGAATTTTTTAAGTGAGCTTATGTTATATTTAACAGAAAGTTCTTATTTTTAAGGACAGACTAATGTGGTCATTGTGGATTTTACTCATCCTTCAGGAGAAGGAATATTTTAGAGATATTCATTCAGACGTCTCCAAGTTCTTACAGTGCGTTTCAGATACGAAATTGAGGAACCCCTCTCTTGGGAGAGCTCCTAACATAACAGAAAATAGACACAAATGCTCACTCCAGAAGCGTCTGATAAGTGATCAAACAGCTGTGAGCACCGTGTTGTGGAGAGTACAAAGAAGGGTTCAGGGGCTGGCTTAGAGGAGGTCAAAAGAGCTTAACCAGGGGGAGATTTTGAAATGGGCCATGGA